GCGCGCCCCGCCCCGACACAACTTCCCTCCAATCGGCTCGCCCCGGCCCGCCCCGCGCCCGCCCCCAGCCCCCCCCCCCCCGCCCTCGTCCCGCCCCCCCCCCACCCCCCCCCCGCCACGCCACGCCCCCACGCCCCTGACCCGTTCGTCTCTGCCACCCCAGCCAGGCCCACCGCCACCCCGGCCCCCACCCCGCCCCGCAGCTCCCCACCTTGTCCCGCGCGCCCCTGGGTGCCGCGGCGCCCACCCCATACCTGCACCTACCGTGCCTGAGCATTCCTGGTACCCCCAGCGCTGGCCCTGGTCGAGCCCATGGTCGCCTGACCTCGGGCCAGCCCCGACCGCAGCTAGGCCATCCCTGGTTGCCCGGGAGGGGCGGACGGGATGGCCGCAGGGCTCCCTCGAGGCCCAGGTCCCCGGGGAGCCCCTGGGAGCAGTGAAGAGATCCAAGACCCAGCTCCCGTCCCAAGTGGTTCTGGCAGAAGGGAACAGATCTCTGGTGAAGTGGGGCACAGAGGTTCTGCCCCGTGCCCAGGGTCATGGTGGCATCCCTGACCAAAGGCAGGTATGCCCACCTGGGGCTTCAGGCCTGCCACTATGATGGTAACCCCAAGGACATTAACAAGACTAATAGAGACCAACACACATCACGACTTCTTTAATCCTCAGAGGCAGGCAGGGGCCTCGCTGTCACCTGACACAGGTGAGGAAGTGGAAGCACAGAGAAGGCAGGTAATTCGCCCAAGATTTCCCCATGGGCAGTCAGCAGGGCCTGAACATGCAGGACTGAAACTGTGCTTTGGAAGCCTGCTTTACTGTGTCCTTTTTGCACACTGCCCCCACCCCGCCCCCTCCCCAATAGCCCTGGCCTGCTCAGCATCTGCCTACTCAGATGCCTACCCCCCTTCACCCTCCAGGGCTTCCTCCCCATCCTTTCTGATCTGAGGAGGGGGCCAGGCTCTCCTCGGCTTCCCCTCCACTGTCACTTCACTGGAACGGACAATCATCATTTTAAAATACAACTGTGATCTTGCTGTGGTTCCATAATGCCTTCATCATAAACCCCACAAGCCTTAAGGCCCTGGATGCCTGGGTCCTAACCACATCCCCTTCCCCCACAAACTCTGGCCAAATAATACCCCCAACACACACACATACACACCTGCCCCCATGCAGGAGCCTTTTAGTCCCCTCTTCCCATGCTACTCCATCAGGAACCCTGACTGGAACAGCTTCTCTCTGCTCAGGAGTCCCCTCTTCCAGGAAGCCTTCCAGGAAAGACTGAAACTGCAGAGGCCTTGCAGAGGAACATTCCCAAGGCAGAGGAGAGCTGGGTGAGGGAGTGTCAACAGTCAGGGTTTGGGGCCTATCAAGGCCCAGAATGCCCACCCTTCCCAAGCAAGTAAGAAGGCAGGGTCCCAAATCCTGTCTCCAGACTAGTGTAGGCACTTCGTGGATGGGTAGAGGCGAGCCCAGCCCAGCCTTGTCCTGTCTGTACCCTGAGTGAGGGCCCAAAGGCAGACCTTTTTTTTGTCCTCCCGTACTTGATTCAGGCCTTGCCTATGGGGAGGAAGCAAGGAGAGCTGATTCAGGGCCCTCCTGGGAAGGGAGGGTCGACGGGAGCTGGCCTTGGGGGTCATGGACAGGTGCTCTGGGACAAAATGGGCAAGTGGGTGGAGTGGGTCTTGGTTAGCTTGAAGGCTGCCCCAGACTTCAGGAACAGGTTTGTGAGGAGACACAACTGGAGCGTGAAACCCTCCAACAGGTGTGTAGGCCGCCAAAGGCAGCTGTGTGAAAAGGCGGTTCTCAAGTTGGGGGCGGGGGGTGATCAGAAATAAGGATGTGGGCAGCATGCGAAGCCGTCCAGTGCAGCGTGGGGTTAGGTGGGCAGTGGGGAGGGGTCATGGACCTATAAGCAGCCCCAGGCAGGGGCGGAGGGGGGCAAGGAGGTGTGGCCCACCCGGTGAGTACTCCGTAGGGTCCCAAGGAGCGGCTCTGGGGCACCCAGTGCTGCTGGCCCCCTTCCCTGTTCCAGGACAAGCTGCCCCCTGGCAGAAGCACCGAAGGAGGTAAGCTCCCACCAAAGGGCACCCAGCTTCCCTCCCCTGCCTCGCCACTTCCCGGCCCCTAGGCGCAACTTTTGGGGCTCCCCAGGTGGGAGGCAGGTCTGCCTGAATGCCCAGCCCAGGCCACTTCCTCCAGGAAGCCCTCCCACTGGCAAGCTCCCACTGTCCCTTCATGACAACTGACCTGAAATACCAAACCGGTTCTAATCTTGCCCCTTTATCACTAAGACTTAGCGCACTTGGCTCACCTCTCTGTCTCAGTACCCTCATCCACTGTCTGACCCACAGAATTGTCATGGAGGTTGCAAGAGTTTCTGTCTCTCACATGCCTGGCACAGGTGAGCCCCCCAAAATATGTTGCTCTTCATATTCTCCTTCCACCACGACAAGCTGCCCCCAGCCCTGTGCCAGGTTCTGTCAGTGGGGCAGAGATGTGGGGTTCTGCCAGCAGGACAAGGCCCACATCCCCACATCTACTAAGGCATCTTAGTAGAATGTGTCCTGACTGAGAAATGCGCCAGGTGACGGAAAGTGCGGCAGGAATAGAAACCAGCTGATGTGCAGGCTTCTGCTCCAGCTGAAGGAAAAGGGACCAGGTTCACATGCTCTTGCCTGAAGCAGGAAAAAGAAAAAGGGGGGCAACAATAAATATATATGAAAAACAGCACTCAAAACACAGAAAATTACACAGCAAAGGACAGTGATCCTTGAGCGAAGGGAAACAAATGGCCATCCCTACTCCCTGCCTGGAGACAGTCTCCAGGGCCGGTGGAGGCAGTGGGGATCCAGGCAGACCTCAGGGTTCTCCCTCGGGTTAGGGGTAGAGCAGGGAGTCCCATGAGGGCAAGGTGGCCAGAGTTCACAGGGCAGAATCCTGGAGAGGAGGTAGACAGGGGACCCCAGGGATCTACAGGGGTGTCAGCTGGTTACAAGCTGCTACCCCCAACTTAGGGGAAGAGCCACCCAGAAAGGTTAGCCCAGAGAGGGTGGGAACAGTGCCTGCATTGGACAGCCAGGTTTGAGAACCCCTAAGTTAAGGGGCATCGGTTAGAGTAGAAAGAAGAGTTTTGCCTCAGTAGCAGGGAAAAATCAACTTTAGGCTACATGTAGTTCCAGTCCAGCCCAACACAGCTTAAGAACAAGACCCAAGAAGGGAGGGAAAAATGAAACAAGACGAAACCAGAGAGGGAGACAGAACCATAAGAGACTCTTAATCTCAGGAAACAAACTGAGGGCTGTTGAAGGGGAGAGGGTGGGAGGGATGGGATAGCTGGGGGATGGATATTGGGGAGGGTATGTGCTATGGTGAGCCATGTGAGTTGTGTAAGACTGATGAATCACAGACCTGGAGCCCTGAAACAAATAATACATTATATGTTAATTAAAAAAAAAAAAGAACAAGACCCAAAAGGGTCACACAAGTTCCAAGTAACTTAACTACATCCCAGAAAGAAATTATAAGGATGTTTACAGAAATGGAAAGCCATCCAGCCCCCCCAAAATGTAGAATACAAATGTTTTACAACCAAAAATCATTAGGCATGAAGAAAGGCCGTAAATTATAACTAGTATGGGAGGGGATAAATCAAAATTAACTCAGATGTGACAAAGGTGAGAGTTAGTAGGCACACCTACTGTGACTACACTCCTGTGTTCAAGATGCTAGAGGAAAGACTGAATATGTTAAGTAGAGACATGGAAGATTTTTTAAAGCCTCAAATGAGCTTCTAGGAATGAAATTTAAAACATCTGAGATAAAGAATTACATTGAATGTGATTGATAGAATATTGCACAAGAAAAAATTGTGAACTTGAAGTCATAGCAATAAAGACTATCCAAATGAAACACAGAGACAAAAATGACAGAAAAGAAAATGAACAGTGTTAGTGAGCCATTGGACAATCCCACACGGTAAATTATAGGTGGATTGGAGTCCCCAGAGGATAGGACATGGAGGTGAGAAAGAAAAGTATCTTAAGAAAATGGCCAGAATTTTTATAAATGTAATAAAAACCATAAACCCATAATTGCCAAAAGTTCAACAAAACTTAAGCACAAGAAGCATGAAGAAAACTACACTAAAGCATGTACATTATTCTCAAAATGCTGAAGAACAGTGATAAAGAGAATAGCTTAAAAGTATCTAAGAGATGGGGCGTCTGGGTGGCTCAGTCGTTCAACCATCCAATTCTTGGTTTCGCTTGGGTCCTGACGTCAGGGTTGTGGGATCGAGCCCCATGTCAGGCTCTGTGCTCAGTGGGGAGTCTGCTTGGGATTCTCTCTCCATCTTTCTCTGCCCCTCTTCCTATACTCTCTCTCTCAAATCCATAAATCTCAAAAAAAAAAAAAAAAAAAAAAAGTATCCCGGGGAAAAATTTGTACACAGGAGCAAAGGAAAGGATGTTCTGTTGACGTCCTGTTGGATGAAAACAATGCATGCCAGACAGTGGAGCAATCTCTTTACAATACTGAGAAAAGAAAACCTGCCAACCTGCATTCTTTATGAGTAAAAATGTCATTTGGAGACA